CAAAATTGTTTTTTTTTATATTCTCTCCAAATTTTCTATGCAAATTGTAGTGTAAAGCATATTGAAGGAATATATATTTTGAGGTTGGCTGATTTAAAGACTTCAGCACATTGTTTTTAAGCTGAAGATATGGCTAATTATAAATGAAAGTTAAGTTTTTGTTAATTTAGTTTATAAGAGTTTTCATTAAATTTTTTTTCTGTCTTTGTGCTGGAGAATTGGTGGAATATTTTGTTATTCATAGCTTCCCATTATTATACTCAGCATCCTCCAGTTCCCACTTTAGCAAGATCTGGTGGGTGGCGTTCACTCTGATTTGGTTTGTATTATTAGGAAAAGGTTTTAGATTATATGATCTCTGGCAAGTGACTTCACTCAGGAATTTGGGATGATTATGGATTGCATGTTCGTGTCCCTCCAAATTCATGCTGAAACACTAATCCCCAGTATAATGGTATTTGGAGATGGAGTCTTTAGGAGATACTTAAGACATGAGGGATTGGTTCCCTTGTAAGACATGAAGGAGTTTGCCTCTTTGTCTGCTCTCTTCCATTTGAGAATTCAAGGAGAAAATGGCCATAGATAAGCCAAGAAGACGGTCTTCACCAAGAGCTTGACCATGCTAGTACCTTGGTCTCAGAACTCTAAGAACTCTAAGAAATGAATGTTTGTTCTTTAAACTACCAAGACCGTGGTATTCAGTTACAGCAGCTTGAGCAGTCTAAGGCAGTCTTGGAATGGAAAATGTGGTGCTTCTATGGAAAATAGCTAAACATATGGGACTGGCTTTGTGTCTGAGTAATGGGTAGAGGTTGAAAGAGTTTTGAACCCTAAAAAGCCAATACTGCCTTGAAGGGAATTTTAAAGATGACTCTGGGGAGGGTCCAGAAAGAAAAGAGGAAAGCTAAGGAGAAAACTTCTATCTTAGAGAATACATAAATAATCATGTACAGAATGTTGGTAGAAATAGGAAAGGCGAAGGCTATTCTCATGCGGCTGAAAATGGAAATAAGGAGCATGTTATTTGAAACTGGAGGAAAGGCAATCCTTGTTGCAAAGTAGCAGAGAACTTGGTCAAACTGTGGCTCTATTCTAGTGGCAGAGGGTCACTTGCTCCTGGTTACAGAGCCAATAATGGTGGAGGTGAACTGAGTCTTAACAGCTATGTCCCTGTCCCTCTCCAAAGGTTGACACTATGGGGACAAGCAAAGTAGGGGGAGAAGGTTAGTGTTAAAGAAATGACTCTACCCCTGTGGTCTCTGAAGAGCTGTTACCTTAGTCAGGCTTTCCTAGGACTGAGCCACATTGAGAAATAATATTGTCCTGAAGCATTTTCATTTTAGGGAGGTAGAAGAGCTGTAATAGTTAGATATTGCTCAAATTCTAGGGGCCTAAAAGGAATCAAATGAGAGTAGGCTTGTGGAAGTGCTTTGTCATCTGCAGAATGGAATGTGGATATTACACTCCTTCCCCAGCTCAGGGCACAGTGCCTGAACTGGAGACAGTAACTCTATGAACTAATTAGCCTACAAAACAGGAAGAAATCAAGTGTGCACACACACTGAGTACATATGTGTGTATCTTCCTGCTAGATTGGGAGCTCTGTGAGTGCAGAGTCTGTGCCATCTCTGTCTCCCCAAGGCCTTATGGAATGACCTAAAAATAGTCAGTGCTCAATAAATGTTTGTGATTAATAACAATTATAGTGCCTTTCCTTTTACTTGAGGTTTTTATGGGATAGACTCTCTCTGAAGCCAGATGGAGGAAGTGATAAGAATTGCTGACTTTTATTTCTATAGAGCCCTATTATATATTCTGCATGGCAGGAGGTGAGGGTTCAAAGATTGAGAGCTAAAAAGCTGTAGTTGAGAAGGCAGCATTCCTGGTAACTCAGCATTGGGCCCTGAAATCACCTGTGGTGTGTCTGGAAGCAGGGAAAACAGGACGAGCCCAGATATAGGGTTGCTGTGTATTCTCTGGGCTGTTTTCCCTAGTGCATGCAGCCAGAGGGTGGATCTTTCCCCACCCAGCAACCAGAGGGTAGGAAAGTAACCTTGTTTATCATGCAGAGAAGCAAGCATGTTAGACAGGTCTGGCTAGTTGTGGGGCTTGTTGTGAACAATGTGGCCCATGAGTAATATGGTCACAGTGGCCTGTGGTCATAGTGACTAGTCATTGCTGACACAGAGCAGAGGAAATCACAGGTCTTAGGCAGTGTGACCTGGAAGGCCAGCTTTGACAACAGATGCAGAGAGTGACATACTAAGGGAACAGAGTATTCAAGAGGCACACTGTCACCAAGCCCAGAGCCAGGTGACCTTATATGGCCCAGGGTTATGCCAAGTGCAATAAAGAAAAGAAAAATGGGGTGGGAGGAGTGGCAGTGAATGCAGAGGGCAAAGGCAGAAATATCAGAATAACTCTACTAACCTAAGTTTGTAGCTTAGTAAGTACATTCTTGTAATTAGTAAATGCAAAGGGAGGCTCCAAGCTCATGCCATGCACACATGAAGCCTGGAGTAGAGCGAACCAGACAGACTATGGCTGTGGCTACACAGGATATGGGCATCCCCTAGTAAAGGAAGCTTGATGGTCAGAAAAAGGCTAAAGTTTAGAGTATATGGTGGAGATGTTTACATTTACCATTTCAACAAGTATGAATATAATTTACTGTAGTGCAATTTCTTGTGATTGATACTTTATTAATCTAAAGTTTCAGCTTGAAACTTTAGCATTTTCTAAAAAAGAAATAACTGACCCTGGGTAGGCCTTGCTGGATATTATTCAGCTGTTCTACCGGGCCAGTTTCATGATGATAGTCATTCAAGGATTTGCTTTAGAACATATACCAAGGACCCACCTTTATTCCTAAATAAGAAAAAGCAAGAAAAATGATGATTACAATGATTTCAACCCAATTGGACTTCCTCAACCTTTTGGTGAGACTGGGGGAGCTACACACACACACACACACACACACACACATTAATCTGGCAGGAGCCTGAGGGAACAGAAAATTAAAATTAGGTGGTGCCAAAGCTGGCTATGCGTTATTATTAGGACCTAAAAATTTAAAAAGTTACAAATCCTCAATTAAAAGAAAGATATTTTATCCATCCTTAGGGAAATTGAAGGCCCTGTTATTGCAACTTTTTGACCCCACTTCATTTAATTAGGGTTTTAACACTCCTACCTATTCCAAACTATTGATTTCTTTAGCCTGGGCCTGAAAAACAGACAAAAGACTATATATGATATCACTCTAATGATTTATCTTAAGAATCTGTGAGCTGTGGAATCGTGATTGTTAGGACTGAGAGACACCTGCTCACCTTTCTGAAATGAGGAGCTGAAAAGATATTCTGAGATTCAGAAAGGGTAAGGGATACAATGTTGACCTTTCCAAGACAGGAAACCTTTGATGAACTATAGGACACCAAGACAGTTCATTTAAAAGATGGTTTCAAAGCATTATCCAGGGCAGGTTTTGTATGTGCCTTAGTGAAACTCTTGGGTTGTCTTTTTACATAAACCGGGGGAAATAATGGTTTCCGCAGTCATTCACGTCTGCAACCCTCATGTGGCATCTTGGCTTCTGGGCTTTGTAACTGCTTTTCCGTCTCTTTTGTGGACAAAATTAAACTTTCCTTACCATTTGACAGCATGGAACTTTCCTGAGATGGGCTGCTAAGGAGAGAAGAGACAGGGAAAGGTCACCAATAGCATCTCCATGTAATTAAGTCAGTAGAAACAGCGAAATAAAATTGTGGCTAATGACATTTACTCGATCCTATAATATGAATCTCCTCTCTGCTCTCAGATGTAAGTTAACGATCAACTGTTAATAAAATGTTCAGACTGTAAATCTTTGTTGCAGGTAATATTGTGTGCAATTTTTAGGACAGATTTACTTTAGGGTTGTGTTTAGAATTGCTTGTTCTCTTTTTCTCTCTGCCTCTTCTTCCTGTTTCTCTCTCTCTCTCTCTCTCTCTCTCTCTATATATATATATATATATATATATATATATATACTAACATTTATGTATATGTACATATATGAATTCCTATGTACATGTACACATGCATACATACATATATGTATATGTAGGTTTTCTAAGGTATAGAATAATTAATAAAGGATAGGTTAAAAGAGAAAAAATAACTTTCAATTTTGATTTATAGACTGAGATTGACCATCTACTAAGGTATATTATGTAATCAAGGAGCCAATTTGTTCTCTTTTAACTCTTAAAGACCTTAAAATTTGAAGATAAGTCTATCATTTCTTTCAATTTTTTTGAAATTCAATTTTTTTGAAAATCGTCTATATAGACATGAGAAAATAAACACTTCAAAAATGCTGGGCTTAACCTTGGCAGAAACTTAATCATAAGCCTGAGTCCCTGACAAAATATGTCCTTAATTTACTGGGTACACAACCAATAACATCAGCAGGGATATCAAGAATCATGCCCGATCTTGGCTTTCAAATTGAGCAGAGGAGACAAACACATTAGTAACGTCATATTGTATGAATGTGAAAGGTAGCTGAGGTTCTATGGGAATGAGGTGGATAGTAACAGCCCACTGGGCACACATCAGGGCGTGTTTCCTGGAAGAAGAGAGACACATGCATTACCATGTCACCGGCTGACAGGGGAAGCAGAGGCCCTGTCTAGAGAGGGACTGCCCTGTGTCCTAATGGCATGAGGGGACAATGTGAGGGAAAGCAGCAAGAAACAGGTATGAACCCAGGTCATGCCACCAGGGATTGAAAGAGCCCTCTGAAGGAGCTGCTACTTTCCTACCAGGCCTTTTGTCACAACTGGAGCTCCCAGTTCCTATCAAAGAACCTGGAAAACAGTAGGTGCTCAGGACATGTTTATTAAACATATACACACAGCGGGCTGGAAAAGTGCACAATCCATCCTGCACAATTTGGAGATGAGAAAGTCAAAAATCATCTGGGTTGTCAAGGGACACTTCATTTTCTTTTTCAGATTACTTGCAACATATAATAGCCTGACCGATAAACACCTGGCTGGATATTTCAACAACACAAGGATACGGCAGCATCTCCTAAGATCAGGACTGGTAAAAATTGCTTTGCTTTCTACTCATGTTCTCATTTCATTAAGTCCAGTAATTCCCAATTTTTCAGGTTTTCTCTTTAAACTAGTCAGTGACATGGCTTTTTTTTTTTAGAAAAATTGCTTCTTTTTCAAAGTTCTGATTTATTTATTTGAGGCTATTTCAGAAGATGAGAAGACAGTTCAATGATCACTAAGAAAAACAAACTATTGAGGGAAAGTCTCTGAGTTTCAACAGCATAATTCATTTATTTCCTCATTTATGTATTTAACACATATTTATGGAACACATTTTATGAGCCAGAAACTATTAGAGAATGAGGACAGAGAAGACTTCATTGTCTTCAGAAAAAAAAAATATTGTTTTTAATGAACACAGAGCATGGTGTGAAAAGCATGAACAATTCAACATTTCCCCCTTGAATTTTTTTAAACTTGAATTTCCTGTGATGATTTATTGATACATTGGTGTCTTTCATTAGTTTTAAAATTGCTCTTTCAACAAAGTTTCCTTTCCTTCAAATAACTATAATATGAAAATCCTTTTTAAAAACCTATGGTTTCCCACTGAAAGAAAGGGGTGTGGTCATAGAAAGTGTTAGCTATTTACCTTCTTAAAACACACTCCTTAACAATTGTTGCCTTGGTGTTGAAAGACCACGCATTGTGTTTCTAATTGTTGTTTATGTGCTTGGCATTCTAGCTGGAGAGATCTCCAAGAGAGTGGAGAGAGTCGCTTTTCAGTCTCTTGGGGCTTTGTTATCAGACAGACCTGGCTGAAACCCAGCTCTGCCATTAACAAGATATAGAATCTTGAGCAAATCACTTATGTAACTTTTTCAGCCCCAACTGCCTCAATTTTAAAATGAAAATAACGATGCCCAGTCCTCAGTATCGTTATGACAATTAGAGTTGTGCTACTGTAATAATTACGGTGGTGGCTTTAATTATTGTGGTTATTATTAACATTGTTTCTTTGGATAACGGTCTTTGAGCTTCATGTATAATGGAAAGAACTTTGTGTTTGCTTATCAACATCATTAACAAGCACTTTCGAACATTTGGTTGTATGCATGGCGACTCAAATAAGGAAGATACAGCCGTTTCTCTAGAGCAGTGGTTCAAAAGCACTCCTTCAGCTAGCACTGTTTAGTATCACCTGGGAACTTGTTAGAAAATGCAAATGTGAGAGCTGTACTCCAGGTTTACTGAATCAGGAGCTCTGGGATGGGGCCCATCAGTCTGTTTTTCTTCAAGGTCATTAGGTGATGCCAATACAGACTTAAGTTTAAGAACCTCTGCCCTGTCGGAGCTTCTAGTCTAATTGGGGAGATCAGACATAGTATCTGGAGAAGAAATAACCACGACATACTAACTACCAAAGAATATTCTAATATCTTTCCCCAAATTTAACACATGTGACATGATATATCAAGGACAACACATTCCAAAGACTGTACTAGTAATTTCAAGAACACTTTTTTAATATAATGTATCCCTTTCTTCCATTGGAACATGTGTTATTGATAAAGATTATCAATAATCAATTGGAGCACAGTTCTAGTTAATCTCAACACTCTAAATATACTGCAACAACAGTGTTTTAAAAGAAAACTATAGCAAGTTTAGAACAAAATTAAGAATAAATATGTTGCTTGCCTTAAACCTTAAAAGGAAGGGCAGGTCATAAATAAGTGGAAAAGAATATATACAATCTGAGAAGGATAATACTCTTTGTTTAGGAGATATAGAAAAATACAACAAATATGCTTATAGGAAGGATTCAAAGAAAAGACAAATAAGTAAAAAGAGAAACTGCCTTTCCTGGATCTTGCAATGGTGCCAGTTGAGACGAATATTGACTACTTTCTATCTGTAGTACTGCATAATCTGTAAAATTATAAATCACAACCAATTAAATTACATTCTGGGCTGGAGAGTGGAAGAAGAAAAAGCAGTGGGAAAACAAAGTAATGAAACCAATTATTTTCAAAACAAATCGATGAGATCCTCTGCGGCTCGCCTGTTTTGTCCTTCAAAGTATTTCCTGTGAGATCTCGAGCTGCGATGCGATCACAGCCCTGTTGGTTTCATGGTGGCGTCCACCCACTTCTTCCCAGAATGTGTTCAGAAATGAAAAGAACACCTGGGTCCCATCAAGGGGGAACTGTTCCTTTAATGAAAACCTCGTTGTAAATGTCCAGCGCACCACTCATGTGCGCCTTCACAGTGACGGGTGTTATGAGACTGTTTTGGCCCTTGTGCCTTAGCAACTAACTTCATTGAAAGCCAGAGTGCATCAGCCACAGTGGCCCACTCCTTGTGCTTGGGTGACGCTGCCACTTTTCTTCTCTCTCCCTCCCTAGCCTGACCCCCTTGTCTCTTTCTCTTTCTTCTCTGACTCCCATTTTTGAAAACTAACAACTCATTTTCTTCTTTGTATTTCTGTGTATGTTTTATTTATCCATGACAGATCACAAGAAGTGGAAGAATACTTTCTGAAAAGGAATACAAATTAAATATCATGAAGCGAGATCACCAAAAATATATCCGAGAGTGCTTAGCTCAGGCTATTTTCCATAAGGTTCTTGATTTGGAGGTACAAATATTTATTATTGTCCTTTTAATTATTTTTTTTGTAAGATGATACTTAATAATGCTTTTGTAACCAGAAGCAGGGGACTTCTTCCTATATTTCAATAAAAAGGAAAATGGAATCAAGTGACTTGAGAAATAGTCTGTATCTCTCTAGGTAGCCAGGAGCCAAGAGACTGGAGTAAGCTTTTCTCTATTTCAGTTGGGAAAAAATATGGACATCATAATATATTTTGTGATATTTAATTTTCTAAATGTAGATTTTAAATCCACAATGGCTACTCTGAAACATACCAGCCCTCACCATCTGTACCTTAATTTCCATTTGCTAAAAAAAAGTGACATCTGTTTAAATATCAGTAATTCCACTGCCATGAATTATTTCAGATCTGTTATTCTTTTAAGGCTCCGAAGCTCAGCCGTATGTTAAGTTTCAAGGAATAGGCATTGAAACATCTGCTGTCCCTCCTACTTTAGGCCACATTGGTCAACATAGATTTTCAACCAGAGCATCAACAAAATTTTTTTTTAATCTGACATGGCACTTTTAGTTGGATATTTAGCTAACTTGATAAATTATTTCAGCCTTGCTCCATGAAACTTGTACTTTCAAGCATCAATACCATTTTAATCTCTCTGAAAAAGCATGTCATTTCTTGGCTTGACCATACAGTAGTAAATAAGAAAACTTGGCTTGTAAAACCATTGACCTATGGGTGCAGTAAACATTTATGAACAACTGTAGAATCATCAGTAAACCAATATCAAGTTGAGTGCCACTGAACATATTTATTATTATGCTACCATTGTATTGATCAAGTGGAATTTTCACTTAGGATGTGTGTGTATGTGCACACACATACATATAATGCACAAACATATATAATGTTAACATGTAATATTAATTTCAGAATCTGTCTTGTGCATCATATCTTGTGCATAAATTATATGGAATCATTGATTCACTTGCTTATAAAAGTACTAGTTAAAAAACCTACATTTCTTTTAAGAAAATAAATAATATGACATAAAATTAATCTACTCCTAGTTTCAAGTTTACTTAATAGGCAGAGTTCAAAATTAACCTTTATCCTTGAAGTTCAGTTTTCTAAAATCATACATCACTGACACATTATGACTCACCATGCTATCATTTAAAAGTCTGTAGTTCTTAAAGTTTGGAATAAATATCTTTGATAAATGATAATGTGCAGTATACTAAATAGTTTGTCTATATAATAGAATAGGATAATACATATATAGTTGGGCAGTCCTAGTCGAAAAATATGAAATCTGAACCTTTTTGAGCACCAACATAATGCTTAAAAATTTTGGATTTTGGAGCATTTCATAGTTCATATTTTTCAGATGACGCATATTCAATTTGTGTAGTCTGTGTAAATATTCCAAAATCTGAAAAATTCTGAACTCTGCAACACTTACAGTCTTGACGATTTTGGATAAGGGCCACACCACTAGTATAATACATTAATATACTAGAAGAAGCAGCATTTTTCTCTAAGTAGCCACATTTGTGTCCCATTTAGTTTACGGTGACGGTGACACTGTTTACTAATGTTGTATTGATATTCATGTATTCACTCATGCAAAAAATATTATATTTTTGTTTATTTTTGTAGTTATGGGGACCAAAGCCAGGGTCCTGTGCATGCTGGGCAAGCGCTCTGTCACTGAGTCACATTCCCAGACCTATGCAACAAACATATAGGCTTACCATGTGAAAAAATGAAGCTATATGTTGAAGATGAAAGGTATATTTAAAAAAAAAAACACAGAAACTGAGTGCTAGGAGGGAGGAGCAAACAAACTAGCTCAGAAAAGAAGGGGAGGATGGTTTTCTTCTGTGGGAGTCAGAAGTCCTGCTATTTGCAGAACATCTTGAAGAGTGAATGAAAATTCCCATGAAAATACAGGAAAGACATTCCAGAGAGTGGAGACTGCAGGTGTGACATTACAGAGGTGTGAAGGGACATTGTGAACGGAAAAGAAAGCTCACTGAAGCCAGACTGCACAGTGGGTTGGTTGAAAGTAGTGACAGGAGTGATGCTACGTTGGGGCCCAATTTCTGGAAAGCCCTGAATTCCCAACTCGGTTTGGAGTGTAGGTGATGAGGCGATGAAATGTTTTCCAGCAGGGGAGTGAAATAAATGAGCAGAGCTGTTTTAGAAAGATGATGTTGCTAAAAATGTGGAAGATGGATTAATGAGCTGGAAAAGATTGGAGGTGGGAGGTCAATTAGGAAGCTGTTGCTGAAGGGTGTGGGCTAACAGCAGTAGTGAGGATGCAGGGGAGATGCAGCTGTCTCCAGAGATACTGAAGACAGGGAAAGCTTCACAGTGACGGCATGAGGAGCAGCTCTGAGGTTTTCAGCCTGGGCGGTAGCATGTGCCCTGGGAGACACAGGGACAACTTGGGTAGAAAAGAATCTCCATGTGGTGAAAGCTGTGCCTACCAGGATGTTTTCTAGGAAGCCAGGAGGCTCTTAGGAGCTGCAGAATGGTTAAATCAGATGAGTACTAGAAAAAAGGAAATTAGGTTTGACCCAGAAGACAAAGACATCGGTGGCCTTGGGGAAAGTAGTTTCAGCAGTGGTGAGGAGGAGGGGCTGACTGCGGAGCACCAGAAATAAGTGGAAGATGGAAAATGGCTGATAGTGAATGTAATAAAGTTTGGTGATAAGTGGGTGAGAGATCAGAGAAAGGAGAGGAAAGGGAAGTGTCAAGAAGAGGATTGATGATACTTAGGCAGTGAATGATTGAGTCCCCAGGGTCCCCAAGGCAGCAAGAGGGAGTCAAGAATAGAAAGGAAAAAAAAAAAACCAAAAAACCAAAAAAACACCTTTTCTTTCAAAGACCCAATAAAGACCTTCAAATGCATCTGAATGATTTCAAACTGGATTGTAAGCAGATCAGTGTTATGTGAGATTTATTTTTAATATGGTACAGAAAATTTGGAACTATAAAGCATAATAAAGAAAAATAACCAGATAGTTCCTATTCTCAGAGATGACTACTGTTAACATACAAGTTTTTTGTTTATCCACATTTATGAATTAATAAAATTATGCTATGTTGTGAGAGGGATATAGTTTTGTGAAAAACAAAAACAAACAAACAAACAAAAAACAAATAATAACAACAACAAAAACAAAGGAAGTTAATGTCAACTTAACCAAGGTTCAAAGTAGCACTCCATAGCTGACTAGATGTATGACCTGAGGCAAGTTCATGGTCCCCTGCCTCAGTTTCTCTCTTTGTAAAATAGGGCTGTTTGGCAATTAGAGTTGTTCAAGAAGAAGGGTTGTACATGAAACACCTTCCTAGCACAGGGACAATTACATATTTCTGTGACGTTCTGGATTTTGCTTTCTCCTGCATTTACATGAATTTTCCATTTTTCAAAAAACAAAATCTTTATGAACCTTATTCTTAATGATCATATTCTGTTTCATCATTTGAGTAAGTGACAAAAATTTAAACATTCTCTTTAAAGTTTATATTGCTTCTGTATTTTTGCTTTGAAAAAGGAAAAAAAAAACCTTTCTAATAGCATCACTGTGCATAAAACATGTGAAAAATTATATTCAATTTTGCCCCTGGGTTTCGAAGTGAAACTTAGTCATTAAAGGGTATAAATACTTTTCGCTGCCTAATATATGTTTATAATTTGGCTTTCTTAAGAGTAGCACCAATTTATATTCTCACCTGCACACTTAGGCAGGTGATTCTTCTCCATCTCAACGACAAGAGGTGTAATCAAGAATAAAGTTAACTAGTAGGATTATTTTCTAAAAATTTGTGACAATTGATATGATTCTGTCCTCTATTCTTTCCTGCATGCTTAGCGTCACCATCAACTGGAAATAAAAAAGAAACTGGAGACCTTAGCTAGAAAGGAGCAAATTCAGAGATTTAAGGTAAGGCACTATATACCGTCTTGCACTTCATAATATTTTTTAATGATTTCACAAGCAGTGGTCATTATTGAAGGCACTTTACTTTGGGGTAACATATAGCTGAGGTCAAATAATGGTTCTACTAAGCCTGAATGTTGGCCATCCTCTTTACAGACAATAGTGACAAAATATGAGTTGTTTGTGTGACAGACATTTTAATAAGGCACAAACCTTTCAAAGACAAACTTGTAAACATCCCTTTCAAGATTGAAGTTTTGCTTTTGTATTTTCATGTGGTAGAGGCCAAAGGATGTTTAGCTGTCTTAAGAAAGTAAAAGTAGATGATAATATTCTCAATGTGATTAAAAAAAATAGAGCATTTTAAGAATTATACAATGGCACATTTTTGTGTGAATGTCACCCTTGAAAATGATGACGGGAAAAATCCTCTTTAGAAAAAGAAAGCATAATAAGATTTAAGATATTTTGTACTAGGTCTGTTGAAATTCCTTGCTTGTTTTCTATTTTGGTATTTGATATCTCTTCTTTGCAGTAAACTTATGAAATATATAAATTTGAATCAAGAGATGAGAGATTCAATTAGGCATGTTTGAATGATTTTGATTTAGGTTGGCAGTTTTATTCAATTTCTTTTGCCATTCAAAATCACATGTTGTCCTTAATTTTCTGTGTAGTATTACAAATGTGAGACCTAAGACATTTCACAAAATGATGAGTATTTGTAAACCCCTGTAGAATAAGTTGCCAAATAATTCAGTATTTTTTCTCTCTCTCTTGCCTGACAGACATGGATCTATTTTATCAGGATCAAAAGATAATCTTGTTACAAGAGTACTGCTTTCTGGTAGTGTCTACTAAACAAAGTCGTGAAGGGCACTATGCTTTTGATAGTAGTCTGCTAAAGCAGATTAATAGTGTTTATGGCTAAAAACGAAGGATACACTGCTTTTGTAGCTATTTCTTTGTGTACAGCTAAAGCAGATTCAGTTTTCTGCCTTTCCCTACCATGCTCAGCACCCTGATAAGGCACAAAACTTCCTAACCACCATGACAGTTCTCAGAAGTGACATTCCTGAAAAGAATGAGAAAGGACTTCTTTGGTCTCACAGTCAATTAAAGCATGAACCTAAGTTAAGTACTAACCTAACCTAGATTACTAACTAAATCTCTTTTTTATTCCAGGGAGAGCACACAAGACAATTTATTGAAAACAACATGCCAATCCTGTCTCCTCGCCCCCCACTTGGCCCAAAGACTAATCGCGGCCAGAGTGTTCTGGTTAGTGAAGGACATTCTAGTCCATTAACACTGGTGAGTCATATTAAACACTCTGTCCCAGCTTATTAATTGGTGATTTCTTATTAATCGCAAAAAAAAAAAAAAAAATGCTTTCTGGCACCGTGTCAGCATAATCCTGCAAGTCCTCCTGAATGAAAACATTGTTTTAAAAAGAACAACATCGTGTACACCCACTAGACTAGGATCCTAATTAGAATAACATATACTCCAAGTTTGTATAAATATGTTAAAATAGACTCTTACTGTCATGTATAACAAAAAGGAACAAATTAAAAAAAAAACTAAAAAAAAAGAACAACACCCCCCCACACAGTCTTTTATCTATTCAACTCTGTCTCTCCTGAATCTCCTACTTCGAATCAAGACCACTCCTGCCAAATCCATTGTACTTGCTAACTGCTAGTTTTTTTTTTTTTTGAAGTGTAGATTATTTATGTTACATATATTCCCAGTACGTTCCCTGGTTCTGTGTTACAGATAGGCAAGACCAGACTCTTTCACCTGACATATAAGACCATAAACCATATGACCTCAAGTTAGCCATCTCAATATTTCCCTTCATGATTACCCATTAGCGTCCTACAATGCAGCAGAGTTGAACCATGAGTTGTTTCATACATATTCTATATTTTCTGACCTCTGAATTTAGTTCTTGCGTTTCCCTCTACTGCTCTCTTACCTGCACAGATCAATGGCACCATATTGCATAGAGGATAGATACCAATGTTCCTTTCATCAAAAATGTGTGCTCATAACTCTAAAATAAAAATAATTAAATGTATAGAGATACTATTTGAACAAATTTCACACTGATAATTTGTGCTAGCTTGATTCCTTGGTAACTTAGAGGTGGTTATAAACTCTCAAAGGAGAGGGAGACACCTTGAAACAATATCAATAAAGGAAAAGATTTGCAAAATATTTACTAGAGGCTGATGGTTTAAGTTATAACTGAATTGTTTGATTACATCTTTATTCTTGCTTTGTGTAACCTAATCTATTTCCTTGTTAGCATGAACATTTTTTTTGGTATTGCACAATATTTATAGAGGAATGGCAATGCTTTTACAGGTTATTGAAGTAGGTTCATCATATATAATGTTAAGCTTTGACATATTTCAAAAGGTAAATAGGTTTTGACATTCCCTGATGAACAGCTCAAGTGATGAAAAGCAACCATCTACCCTTTGTTGTTACCCCAATTTCCAGGTTTGATTTGAATGTATATGTGTACAAATAATTCTTTTATTGGATGGCAATTCACTAGACTCTCAGAAGCTTAACCTGAGTGAAACAAAAGAAACAATCTAGTGCAGTTTTCTGTCTTCCACCTGTTTCAGAGAGGAAAAACCCTTTAAAAGCTTTCTTTTCAATTTTCCAGCTGAACACCCTCAATAAATAGTTTATGATACATCCAGGAGATCTTAATGTGGCAGAAGTGAGAAAGTAATTTAAAAATTACAGGAAACACTGACACCAGCACTTCAAAAGGCTTTCCCTCTGCTAAGCTAGGGTTCTTCACTTGGTCACCCCCTGTGGTGCTCTTGCACCTTAAGGGATACCTATTGTGATCTTGGAATTGTACTTCCCATTTTACAGAAATGGTTTGCTTTTCCCTGTGCGGATACATAGTCTTTAAATTTCACTCCTGATCTCTAAGTGCTAGAGACAAGTAAGAATTGTTATGGGATATCACCATATATTTATTTATTTATAGCTTTCTCAAATGAATAAGGAAAGTATCCAGGGCAATGTCAATGCATTTGTTCACTAGTTGAACCTAGACCTCCAAAATAGTCTGCAGTAGAAAGTCATTTCAATGAATAGTGCACATTCAGAGAATTTACCCCTTGAGATCTTCTAAGAATTAAAAATGCTCAACTAAGCTGATTATTCACCAGGTAGTCAATTTCAATTCACATTCTGGCCCAGTTTTGAGAATGTTAAGCTACAGTGCCGTATTTATTCCAAGAAAATATATTACAAACCATTTAAAATATAGCAAATTTAAGGTAGCTTCTGATGTGAACTGCAGCAGTTTGTAGCTCACAGCTGTTAGTTAATGGTGCAGATTTGTTTTTAGAGATAAATGTAATCAGTTAAACATTTGACTGCCACATTTATCTAACTGATGATATTTGTATGCAAATGCATGGAAGTAAAATTTAGAGCATAACAGCCAGTAGATCATGTTCTAGTTTGCAGTAACCTGTTTTCTTGAATCCCTACATTAGATGTTTCATGTTTTTGTGTTCGGTTGGATTATTTGACAGAAAACAATCTTAAAGCATGCTTGTTTTATAGAGTCTGCAAGACTCTTTTGGGTAATCTGATTCCCTTGTTCAGAAAGCTCTAGTTCGATTTCTCTGTGGCTTTTAAGATCTAGTACTGTTTGGCTTATATAGGCTTATGTTGTTTTTATTTAAGTTCTATGTAGCTCTAGTCAATTCACTTGCATTGGTTGTGATGCAGGTTTGTGTGCAGAGAATTCAAATAACAATGACTTAAGCATCAGGGCCCCCATCCACCCAACTAATGTGCATGTCTCTTCTCAGCTTGTGCCTTTTCTGTTCTATAAATTCATCACAAATTCAGATTTATTTTGTATTATTCATCTACCAAACTCAGGGTGTTGCCTCCATCTATATAAGCCCAAATGGTGGATCACCATATGAGTACCTTAACCACAGGAAATGGGTAGAGGGGAAAGAAAGCAAACACATACTTCTCTTCTCCAAAGACATGATCTGGAAGTTTCATTCTATCACTTCTGTTCATATTGAGGCATACACAGAGTTGTAAGGGATTCTGGAAATATCATCTTTATTTATGACAGTGGTGTTCCTAGATAAAAATTGTGTAACTAGTGAAGGAAGAAAAAGAGAGATTGAGGATTATTATCTTTGTTTCTCCTCTTGCGTCTTGCTCTCATTGGCTCTCTTGTTTGGATGTTAAAGTTTACCATTCTTCTTTGCTATTGTTTTCTTCTCTTGCTTAACCATTTAATATCTAACTGCTTGTGGAATTTTAATTTGTATTAGCCTCATTGGCTTACTCTAATATTCCAAGACCTTTACATTTTAAGTTTTGTTCTCAGGTATTTTGTTGTTATCTTCTGCTTGGCAGTATTTGTGTTGTTCATTTGACAATGGTTGTCCTGTGTCACCATTAGATGTTAAAACATTACTTTTAATCTCCTTCTTGGGCCTTTGGTTGGAATTCAACAAATGTTGACTTAACAAAATCAGAGCTTTAGCTATTCATGACATGCTTCTCAAGGTGGTACTGACACTAATATTTGGTAGTAGGAGATGCCTTATCATCATTTTTTATGTATTTACACACACTTTTCCAGAATTGAATATTTGTCATTCACCATTCTTTAGAGTCAATGTATGAAGCTTTATTCATGAATCATTTATATACCATCCTTTTCATATTCTCTTACCCAAACATGCATCTCCTAGTCTCAACAGGTTTCCATTATCTTATTGTAATAGAACAACTGGGTCAATAGCTTCATTTCTCCCCCTACTTTTGACACATTGCTAATCTTTATACTAAACTCACAATATTTTGTTGATGCCCCAAAAGACACTTTGCAATGCTCCATACTGGCATTTTTGATATTCACTGCAATACATTCTTGATTGGAAAATGTATCAGTCCGGGGCTCAGCAGGGAACAGATGGCTCACACAAACAAAGTAATTAGGAAGTGTTTAATAAAGAAACTATTTACAAAGATGCAGGCAGGGTTAAGGAAAACCAACTAGGGATGTTAAGCATGCTGGGGTCAGCACAACAGGAAACCACAGTCCCTAGGCTCTCTGGAGAAAGAGAAAGATTGGATTCCAGAACCAGCAGATAGAACGTGTAGCAGGAGAGCATTTCCCAACAGGAGCAGTGGGCTTGGTTAGAGACCCTTATTGGCCCATTAGAACCCTTCAGAGAGGTTCCAGGGAAATAAAAGCCCTGATTTCATTTTCCTGTTTTTCTGTCTCCTGTTAGTTCCTTTTCTTGGTAGAATATAACTACAATACTGAGGTTAGTTGGTAGGTTCCTAAAGGAATGACAGCCAGGGCTGAGAGCAAAAGTAGAGAAGATGAACAGGAGAATTAAAAGAACAAATGCAAAATATGCAACATGGAAAACACATTGATTTTATACAGTTTTTTCCAAAGTTGCCAGATACAATTTTTCATTTTTGTTTTCTTAATATTTCAAGGAAGTAGTTGAATAAATGGTAATACATTACAGTTGAGCATCTGTCTATCCTATTGTCTGGTTTTACTCTGACACCAATCTTAAGGCTTTAAGGATTCCGAATAGAATTTATATTGAAAACGCTGAAACTGAAATGAGTACATTTCAATACTATTCTTTTAGATCTCTGAAATAGGAACATTATTCAACTTAACACATAACTGAGCAAAGCCATTCTGTGCCTGGTATAAATTAAGTATTGTCAGCAAGTTTACAGTATGATTAAAATACAGAAATGTGATAGAGGACATCTCCTTTGTTTAGCATACTCTATAATTGTGGCATTTAGTTATGTAGGGGATTTCAACACCATATGTTTTCACAAATACTTTGGGTCAGAAGGGTATGTATAATGGAAGGACATAATTAAAGTTTAATCTGTTCAGTAAAAAGGCACCATTAATTACTCTAGGCAATTTGTTAGGTTATTAATTGGTTCTGGAAACATGTCAAGATTCTAATTTAAATGGAATTTTTTTCTCTAATTGTCTAGACAGCTCCTCGACCATATACTGCCCCAGGAAATATGCAGCCTCCAGTTCGATTACAGCCTCTTCCCCGTAATCCTGCAGTGGGGACTGTTCCAAAGATAACTTCCGGATCCAGATTAAAACCCTCAGTGCTGGAAAATGAAGCTCCATTTCCCATTGGGGTAAATGTTATTTTCTTCAAGAAATTTGTTCTTATTCTTGATCAGAATATTAGGTTATCACAGATTTAAGATGCTGTATTCAATTAATTCACATAGAGAAATCGATATTGTGCATTTATTAAGCACTTACTATGTGTTATTTCTGGTGAACTATATCTAACTGGAACTGGCAGTCCTATAATTTCTGGAATATTGAGCAGAAAGCATAAAGAATGGATTTGTAACAATGTATGGACACTTCTCATTAATTGGAGAGGCTGGTTGAAAAACAAAGAGGAAAGAATTTTCATAGCCAGACATGACTTCTATCAGAAGTGACCCAGTGTTGACTCCTTCCAGATTGTAAATGCATAAGACCTAGAAAATGAAACTTTCTAAGAATAGGTTTGCATTTGCATGCCGACTTACTTTCCCATCAGTGTATGAAATTACTTCAAGTTTGGCTCTTAGAAGGTTGAATATAGAAGGAAAAGAATGTCCATCTTTAAAAATGCTGAGTTAATCACACCCAGTAGTTCCCCTTTCAAGGTCACGTCCCAGGAAATTTTCACTTATTTAAATAGAATACAGGAAGGAGGTTTGGTAACTATGAAATGTTAGTTACTTAAATAGGGAGGGATAATTAGGACTTCACTAACTAGGGAGTGTACTGTTTGTGTTTCTAACGTGAAGAAGAAACATTTGCCAGCTTATAAAAGAGCCTCTTCATGATTATCATTATTCTGAGATGGGTGAATTATGTTACCTTCCTTATTAGGAAACACAAAACATATGAAATTAAGATATTTTTATTATCTTTCACTGATAACTTTGACACTGGACCATTAAATTAAAATGAATAAATTATTGTTTCACAGTAAAAGCATAAATATAACTAAAAATAATAACTAATACTTTAATCCACTTAATGTGCTTTTCAGCTTGTGAAATATTTTTCACAAACTTTATTTCAGTTAATTTAATAGTAGTTTCCCAAAAAGCAGGATAGTCCCAAAGTGATGGCTCTTTGTCTTAGATTAGAGCTGGGCAGGAACTTGCTTGCTCATAAGTTTGGCCCTTTGTAGGATCTAGTCTCTAATGGTGAGGCCCATGGATTTCCCATTTCAGCCAGTGTCCATGAATAGTCAGTCCTGGAAAACTGTGTCACCCTAACTGAAACAACTAATAACAAGGTCCTTTTTCTATCTAGAGTAAACCAAAAATAATGGGCCTTACCATAATAAGGGGCCATTAATTCACCAAAAGATATCAAATAGTGAAAGCTTATAGAAGTACCTTCCTCTCTTGTAAGTAGAGCCACAAGAGAAGCCAGATCATAATGAGAAGGTTGCCTGGAGAATATGGAATTAGAATGAAGGGGTAGGTTATAACAGAATGTTAACAGGATCAGGCTCAGATGACCTGGTTCACCCATCTCCTCTTAGGAATGTGCTTGCCAAAAGTACCAGAAAACTCTATATAAAAGTCTTTGGCTAAAACCCTCTGTGTCCTCCAGGGATAACTCTGCCATTAGAACTGGAAATATTCAAAGTCCAATGGGTAGGATTTTCTTTCCCATAGACTGTACTTGCATGAGTACCTTCCATGTTTGCCAAGGTGATTATATTCTGTCCTAAGCTTCTATAATTCTATTTTGATTGGTACATTTTCTTGTTAAATTCGAACACTATCAATCAGATCATAATCAAGTTTTTCTATTTAGTTAGGGAGCAATTTTTTTTCTTTCAGGTCATTTTCCAAATTTATTCAGAGTCACTGAATAGACTGGCTGACTAAATCAATATAGGTTTCTTATTTTCTTGTTTTGGGGATTTGGGTTACTGAAAGATAGATATTTAGTGGTCGTTCACAGGTGCTGAGAAGACTGAGGTCAATTCCATGTTAGTTTCAATTAGCTAACCTCACTTTTCATTCAGTAAATATTTATTGGCCACTTACTATGGGCTAGGTCCTGGTCTAGAAATTGATGTTATATCAGTTAACAAGGCTGACAAAAGTAATTTATTAAGAATTTTATAGTCTAATGTTCATAAGTGAAATATAGTGTGAAAAGACATGTTTATATTTTCCAAGTGATATTGATGATGAAAATGTTTTAATATGAAATCAAACAACATGGTAGTAATCTGTATGATTACTAAGTATGTAATGAGCATCTAATAAATTCTTATTAATTTTTTAAAGAATAAAGGATATGCACGTGGGAAATATTTGAAGGTACAACAGATAAAAGCAGGTTGAACTTTGCATAATACCAGGAGTGAAGGTCTTTAACTTAGGCAAAAGTGATTTGGTCAAAATTAGATTGGTTGCAGTGAAACTAAGTAAAAGTAATTTCTTTATTAAAAATGAATAAGCCTCCAAATGAGAGTTTCTCATACACGGTTGGTAGGAGAAGAAATTGGAACAACTATTTGTAAAGGTAATACTGGGAATATCTATAACCATTTTATATGAACATACTCAAGCAGTTTAACAAATAGGAATTTATTCAAGGAATATACACATGTGCAAAGAAATAGAATCAAGAATATTTTTTACTGTTATATTTTTAACAGTGAGCAATTGAAAGAAACAAGTATTTATATATTGTTTAAAAATGTCATAGTATACTAAGGTACATTTAAAAAATGACAGTAAATTATCTGTAATGGCATGAAAAGTTGTCCAAGATGCTTTGAGCTAAAACAAACAAACAAACAAACAAAAGTAAAATGAAAAACATCTTAATTAAAAAAAATCATTAATCCATTTCTAAACAAGACATACAATTGTCCTAGTCAGAGTATCATTTTTAAAAAATCGCCAAACTCCCAAATTCTAGATTCATTGATTTTATTCTTCTTATTACTTTCACTTATTTTTGTTATTCCACACTAAATGCAGTTTATTACAGAAAAAATGGAATATGGGAGAAAAGAAAAATAAGAACATAACAATGAAATACCAACCATTCTAGCAATAGTAAATTGCTTTGTGAATATCTATTTAAATCCCTTCTGTTCACATAAATGCTCTTTTTAATCAAAATTAGGACTACACCTGCCTTTATTTAACCTGCTTTTACTTATTTAGCAATGAAAAACTGTCTGCAGAATAACTTCCCTTTCTTAAAAATAGCTTTTTACTACTAAATGTCTCAAAGTAAGAACTAAATGGGCTTAAAATTAATTATAAATTTAAAAAATGTAAATGCAATATAAATTTGTACTATTTAAATACAAATAATTATAAAAACAAATACATTGTTATAAATTGGGGTAGGTAACTCAGGTTCTTTCAGTTATTCTTGCTTATAGTCAAAACCCACATACAAATTATTTACGTGAAATAGCTGATCATACTGCATGCATTCTTTTATGCTAGGATAAATAAATTCACATTTTTTCAATAGTCTGGTAAGAATCTATTGCACAAACAAAGCCAAATTTAAATATTTTCCTATTGGAATGTTACATTTTTTGATGATTCAGCTAAATTTATACTGTAGCTATATACGTGAGTATGTTGTACCTCATAAAAATTTACATTAGTGTACTTGTGTAGTTGCCTGTGTAGGATTTATTGCTACCAATTGAATTTCTAGGTCAAAGAGTATGCACCTTTAAAATTTTGATAAATAGTCAAACTTGCCCTTCACACAGTGATTGAAATAATCTAAAGAATGTATGAGATTGCCTTGGATATCCACCTATATGAATAGGGGAGGTCAAAACTTGTAAAAAAAAAAAACATTAACTCCCTATCGCCAAGTCTAATATCCAAACCTGTTTCAAGGTATAATACTATAGACTTTTTAGTTTTAAATTGTTTGACTCTACTAGATCCCAAGAGATTTAATGGATTATTGAGGAAAAATCCAAGAGTACTATAAAAATGTCATCATTTTATGTTGGCTTAAAACTATATTACACAAGTTTAGCAATTGTGAATATTTAATTTGCTCTGGATACTACAAAATGCAATTTTCTGCAGACTGGTGTGTTTTGGGTTTGTCTATGGATACCAGTTGTTTTTGTATACATTGTCATTAATACAGACTGGTCTTGTTAATTTTGGTTTAATTGGGTCACCACTTCTGTTTCATTGGTTCATGAAATTTGATTACAGGGCAAGAAGGCAATGATGAAGTTCAGGAACTCCATGAACAATTCACAAAGAATGAATCCATATCAACTTCCACGCATTAACAGTTACGTGATGCCTGTTCCTCCTCTACCTCCTCCCCGAGATGGAAAAGTCACAAGGGATAACAGATCTGGAACGTGGAGGAGGAGATTTCGTCCAATTACTGCTCCGAATGGCTTGGAACCTCTCTTTCCCAGGGTGATTATGGGATGAATTTTTCTTTTGTTAATTTAACACAAATTACTTTGCACAAAGTTTGATTTGTAGTTGAAGAATTTGGGGGGATCATACTTAAGATGCTTTGCATTAAGAAATGCAATGATTTGCTTCTTGTAATTTTTTTGGTATTAGGTTTTGAACCCAGAAGAGCTTTACTAATGAGTTAAATCCCAGCCCCTTTTATTTTTATTTTTTTTTATTTTGAGACATAGTCTCACTAAATGGCTGAAATTGGCCTTGAACTTGCTGTCCTCCTACCTCAGCCTTCCAAGTGCCTGGGATGACAGGTGTACAACAGTCCAGTGAGAAATGTAATGATTTTCATAAGTGTATTTGTAAGCTTCAGTGAATCTGAAACTAAAGATTTGGGTGGTTTTGTTGAGTGACTAATTCAGCATAATTGATGATAGAATTGATGATCTCAGTAAGTTTTGTGGTCAATTTTAGCTTGAATTTCCCCAAATTCCAAATTATTTATTTCCCTTAATTTGCTGATTTAAAGTATCTTAACATTTCATTTGTGAAAATTCAGGGACTTAAATATACCTGGAAAATGTTATATACCTTAACAAATTTTGTTTTTAACCCTTTAATGCTAAATTAGTGTGTAGTGCTGAGAAAGAAATTTCTCTTAGTGTTTTTTTTTTTTTTTTAATATTGTAGTTTGGGGTACTCAATTCCTGAAAGTACTAATAAAGAACAATTAAGTTTGTACAGATAAGGGCTAGAGAGAAGACAAAAAGTTCTCTTCATCTTCTTTATGTAAATATACAACCAGTATTAGTTACATATAATTTTCGTGTTTATTAGCAGATGGCTGGGTCAAATTTCACTGACTGAGCCTCAGGGAGGGAAATATCAACATGCACACAGACTATTCTGGCTCTTCAAAGTCATACTGACTTTCAAGTGCCTTCTTGGCCCCATGTCCACATATCACTAGCAGCAGTTGTTCTCACCTCTGGCCTTCTCAAAAGACTGGGGTCTTCTTTCTTCTTGCTTGCTCGAATTTTCTCCATTCAACTTGATTTTATCAATTCTCTCCCTTTGCTACTGTCTTTGACAGATCCCTCTCATCCATGAAGACCACCCTTCATCCTGTGTCCTTGATCTTTGACTCTTCTGTGGCCTAGGGTATGCCTTCCTCCTCTCTAATTTGTTTTTTTTAGCCTTTAATATTAATCTCTGCTTCTCAACATTCCAGGCCTTACATAGGGTAATCAAATCCTTTCCTCACAGGCTGTAACCTTAGACTTCTGTTTTCTCCTTTCTTTCTCTGCAAAGTTCACGGAAGAGTAATTCACTGTGTCTTAGTCTAACAATCAACTCCACCTTCTGACAACAAAGTTTGATTTCTTCCTCTCATGATCATCTCTGTTGGTCAGCTGCAGTTCTGAGACTCAGGTGAAGGGATAGCTCAGACTGAGGAGTCACTCTAGAATTCCACTGTCAAAGCAAGTCCTTAGCCAAGTCAAGCAGCCTTGGAATGAGAGCATCATCCTCTTGCAGAGAGGAGCGATGAGTATTGGAACTATAACAGCTTCTACCACATCTACTATTTTCCTTTCCTTTCTTACACTGTATGCTGGCATTGGTTTCCCCCAGGCCAATGAACATACTCCTTGAGGAATGTGACCCTCACTTAGCAAAAAAACAGTTACTTTCTTACCTTCTTCAAGTACTTGAGTGGCTACATTTTATTTTCTGATGTTGTATTACATGACTTGGATAAATTCTGCCTGGTCACACTTGAAAAAATTCAAGTTTTCTGGGTGCAGTGATGCATGCCTATAATCCCAGTGGCTGGGGAGGTGGAAGCAGCTTCAGCAACTTATCGAGGACCATAAGCAACTTAGCAAGACCCTATCTCAAAATAATAAATTTTAAAAAAGGGCTAGGGAGGTGGTTCAGTGGAGAAGTGCCCCTGGGTTCAATCCCCAGTACCAAAAATAAATAAATAAATAAACAAATAAACAAACAAACAAATAAATAAATTGTCCCATCTATATCTTATATATAAAAGTATTTAAATGCATTCTACTGTCATGTATAACTAATTAAAACAAAAATTAAATTAGAATGTTTTAAAACTGTATGTGCAAGTTAAATAATAACCAAACACCCACATATGCACCACTTTTTTAATGAAGTAGAAATTTATTATCACATTAGTCTTAAGCTCCTATTTCCTGCCCCATCACATCCCCTACTCCTTCCTAGAATAACCACTACACTGACCTCTGTTTGCTCTGTCTCTGCTTTTCTTTAATGTTCTGTCATTTCTGCACATGGCACGTCAGACATAAGCTCAAACTTAGCTTTGTAATAAAAGGACAATATTTCCAGGAGAAAATAAGCTGAAAAGAATCATTGAGTCAGAGCCTGGGTTTGGTAGGACGTGAGTGTGCCCTGCCTGGGAAACAAGGGCTGATCAGATTCAGGGTGTCTGCTGAGGGCTTAGTGTGGGCCAGACACAGATGTCCAGCAAGAATGTGATCAGTGCTTGGCTTCTGGAGCTGGACACCAAAGAGGGAGAGCAACGATTTCTCTAGCTGATGGTCATAACGAGGGAAGCACAAACCAACATCTGAGCTCAGTTCCCCTGCGGGTCTGCGTTCAGGTTTGAAGCACAGCATGGGTCAGTAGGAATCTTGGCTCTGACAGACTTTATCCTGTCTCTCCAGTTACAGGCCTTCAGTCTCAGGTTGTTTTTTTGTTTTGTTTTGTTTCTAAACCTCTGTGTTCTGCCTTTGGAATTTCTATTATGGCAATGTTGAAACTGCGAGACTGGTGCTCTAATATTTTTAGCTTTTCTCTTCTGCCTACTTCATTGTCCTTTTGTTTTACTTTCTGAGAGACTTCAATTTTATCTTCCATGCATTCTTCTGAGATTTTTTTTTCTGCTGCCCCATTTCAATTCTAAAAACTCTTATGTGTTCACTGAATGTTAATTTTAAAAAGTATCTTATTCTTGTTCTGTGAGATTTTAATTATTTGGTTATTTGTGGAGACAGGCTTTGTGGGCTAGTTTATATTCAGTTTTTGGAAAGGATAGGATTCCTTAAATTTTGGGAGGAGGGTTCTCTAAACGTCTAAAAAATACATATTAATAGTGTTTTTCATATTTTTAAATCCTTAGATTTTTTTATCTGATTGCTCTCTCAGTTCCTGAGCTATAATGATAATCTGTTCACTATAACTATGAATTTGTCCATTTCACCTTGTAATTATGCCAATTTCTCGTTTGTAAATGTTTGGAATACCTCTTATATGCTTTCAAATGATTTAGGATTTTTTTTATCTTACTGTTGAAATGAATCCCATATCATTAAAAATAATCCTTTTTATCACTTTTGTCTTCTTAAAGACAAAATCCTTCTTAAGGCAGAAGGATTGCAAGTTCAAGGCCAGCATTAGCAACTTAGTGAGGCCCTAAACAACTTAGAAAGATCCTGTCTCAAAATAAAAAATAAAAATAAAAATAAAAATGGTCTGGGGATGTAGCTCAGTGGAAAGTACCCTTGGGTTCAGAACCCAGTACCAAAAAAACAAAACAAAAACCCTTCAGGATTTAAATATATTAATGCAGCATGTGGGTGGCTTCTGATAATCCAATCTGAGAATCTCTGTTCCATTGATGATTTTAGTCCCATTACATTTATTTTGTTTCATGGTGTATTTAGATTTACTTCCCCCATCTTAGTTCGCATTTATTCTTTATTTGGATTTTTCTTTGATAGTGGCATTTTTTGCTTTCATTTCCTCCTTGAAACTCTCCTCTCTTGTCTTCCAGCCACTCTGTTCTCATGGTTCTTTGCTATTACCTTTTAATTCTAGCCTTACTCCTTTAGAATCTTTCTTTAGGCCTAAGTGTGGCCATCAGCACAAGCATCAAACTTGACATTTGTTTTTCTATTCAAAATGTAGCCATTTATTTATATGGTTTCAATAGTTTTCCGTGTGTCTCCTGCATTTGTCTTTGGCCCCAGGTCTGTGAGGCAGGGGCAGAGAATTAATCTGTCCAGTGGGGAGAGTCATGCATTTTTATGTAAGTACATGAGCTTTTTTATTTAGATGTAGAAAAGAGTCATCTAAGGTGGGATGACTCTCATGGCTAACCTACGCATTAAAGTCATTCTTTCGTTCTGTGACTACTGCCAACCAAAAGTGTCCTTCAAATGCTCTTAAGAAGGAAGGGAAGAAAGAGGTAAAAGACAATGAAATATGGCTTGCACCATCCAGCAAGTTGTCTTCGTGCCCTGTTGCTTTGCCCTGTATTGTTCTAGCACCTTCAGAGCTTTATATAGCATTTGCAGGATCTATGATCCTAGTTAGATTGTGCCCTGAGGTTTAACTTTACTCACCTCTAGATTTTTTTGTTCCCCTCAGGATTGAGAGAGCCTGACCTTACTGGTAACCTACTCTATACAAAAGTCTAATAAAAATGTGGATGGATAGACCCCAAAATAGCTTCTATAAATGTGAGGATATAGGTTTTAAAATAAGAACTTTTATGATTGTGTGTCAATTAAAAACACTAATATCAAAACTTGTTTATATGTATGTGTGTGTATATATATATATATATATATATATATATATATATATATATATAAAGGCAAAAAACTTTTCTGAGAATATTAGTCTGGACCTTTCCTCATGTCTCATTGAAGTCTTTTCTCCACTTCCTTTCGCTAAATGAGCCCTTTGCAATTACAGGTGCCGGATGGATAGGTCCAGCTGCCCCTCACATTCAGCATTGTGACTACTTAAACCAACTTTTCCATTTAATTGCCTTATTTCTCTTAAGCACAACCTTTTCTCTAGTAATTTGGTCTCAAAATCTAGAACTTCTTCCCTCTACAACACACACAGCCAATTAATTGCTGAGTCCTCTAGATTAGAGTTGTCCAATAGAAATTTAATGCAAGCCACATAAACAATTTTTACTCACTGCATTGAAAAAGGTAAAGAGAAAC